CTCCTTGACAGGTCCTCTCACTGCCACCCCTGCTTTATCAAGCCTCCTAGTTCCCTGGGCCCTGGCTCCACCTTCCATCCACAGTTGGCTTTCAGGAAAAACCTCGGTTCAAACCTCTGCTCTGTCCTTTACCAGATGCATGTCAATGAACCTTTCAGAGACTCAGGACCTGGGTCACCGTTATCCCCACCCACCTTGCCCCCAGCCCTCAGCCACAGAGTCCTTCTCCTTACCTTTGCCTCCACTGTGGGGCCGTATGGTTTCTGTCCTCTGATCCACCCACTTCCAGCTGCAGCCTGTTCAGGCTCCCTGCCCACGAGGCACAAATCAGTCCCCGATCCCCAGGCATTGGGGAAGCACCTGCTGAGTCCCATGTGGACCAGGTGGGCATCCTGTGTGCTTCCCCTCCCCCGCCGTGCAGGGCTAGATGGGGCCTCCCTCTGCAACCCTGCACACCGCTGCCTGCACCCACCCTGTCCCCCACCCTGCGCACGGGCAGGGCCCCTGCTTGAAGGTGCTGCCCCCAGCCCCAGCTCTCTGGGCGACGCTGTGAGCACTGATTGTCTGAATTCAAAGACACGAAGGTGTTTTTGTGTCTTACACTTGGTGGGTTCTTTAGTAGGGTGCTTTGTTTCTGGGTGCTCTTTTGTTCTCTTCACTCCCTCAAAACGCTATTTAGCTCCTGATGAAGCTTGCAGTCGATGGCATTTCAGCCCCGAGGAAGTATGATAAATGGATAGTGTAATCAGGGACATCTGGAGATTGTTTTTTAACCCAAGGGAGTCACTGTAATGGGAAAAATTGTGGGTTGTCTCTTGATGGGGGCATTTGGGGATGTAAGCGCTGTTCAGACGTCACTGATCGTTGGCTTGTCACGGGCCCAGATATTCTATGCTGAGAACTTCATTGCTCTGGTCTTAGAGACCAGATAGAATACTATTTCTGCTGCTGTCACAGACCCTCCACGCCATACGATTGAGGCAAGCCTGGTGTCCCTGAATGTCTGTCTCCTGGCTTCAATTCCCTTTCTGAGCGGGGATGCTGAGACAGAATCGTCCGGGGATGGAGATGAGGGGAGAGGGATCCAAAGTCCCAGAATGGGAAGTCAAAGGGTCTTTGCAGGTAAAAACTACCCGAAACAGGGCAGACACTTTGGATCCCCTTTCTCTTGCTGCCCGTCCCGGAGAGAGGGTGCCTACTCTCACTGCCGAGTGCACCAACCGGGGCTTCCGGATGGCAGGGGAGCACAGCCTCTCCGGGCTGGGACAGTCCATGGGTCCTCTTCCTAACGGGCTGCCATGGAAACCCAAAGGCTCCCCTCGCAGGGTGGGTGCCCTGGTGGCAGGATGCTGGCCAGCCCGGCCTGAGCGGTCGGTCCCTGGCCAAGCCACGGCTTTCAAACCCAGAGCTCACCTGGGTCCTTCCTGCCATTCTCGTTCCCTCTGGATTTCAAACCCGTCTGCTCTCCGCCGTCTCAGTGCAGCCAGTGTCCCAAGCCGCTGTTTCTCCCCTAGACCCCCCGGCAGTCAGCAGCTCTCCACTGAATGCCAGCTCCCAGAGAGGTGCGTGGGGATCCAGAAACAGTAAGGCACGAAGCTCTGCCACCTGGGGGTGGTGAGTGTGAAGAAAGAGCCCAAGGTAGCCCCTGCCAGGTGCCAAAGGAGTGGTACAGACAGGGCGTTCTCCGGGAACTCAGAGGAGGGTGGTGGGCAGGGGAGGCATTTTTGGAAGAGCGGAGAAGTGACCTTTAAAGACGGGGAAGGCAGTCGGTGAGGTGTGAACAAAGGGCCCAACGGGGGGATGTGTGTGGTGTGTCTGGAACGTTGAAACTTCAGGCAAAGGGGTGTGCATCTCACCTGTAAGCCACGGGGAGCTCCCTGAGGGAAGACAGGCCAGGTAGGAAACCTGGCTAAAAACTCCGCTCTGGGGATGCAGTTGGAGGTCTTTACGGCTGTGCTCTCCCAGAACCAAGCCACCAGCCAGGGACGGCAGCTGAGCTCTTGGCAGGTGGGGCTAGTCGGGACTGAGATGCACTTTAAATTCAAAAGCTACACTGGGTTCTGAAGGCTTCGTCCAGATAGAAAACAATGTTAAATACCTCCGTCATTTTTTTTCTCTCTCAAGTACACGTTGAAATAATAACACATTGGATGTATGGCCCATGTAACGTAAATTATTAAAATAGGTCCACCTGTGTCTTTTTACTTCTTTGAAGGGTGGCTGGCAGAAAATGTTAAGTTCCAACCAGGGGCTCACCTCATCATCCTTTTGGACAAAGCTGGACTAGAGTCTTTACAATATACTCTTTTTTTAAAAAATGCAATTCCCTTTCTCCGTAGTCATGACTGTCTTTCACTTCTTTTTAAGATTTCATTCATTCATTCATTTATTTATTTATTTATTTATTTATTTGCAAGAGGGTGAGCAGGGGGAGGAGTACAGGGAAGGGGACCAGCAGACTCTGTGGTGAGCGGGGAGACCAAGATGCGGGGCTCGATCACGTGACCTGAGTCGAAACCAGGAGTCCAACGCTGAACCAACTGAGCCACCCAGGCGTCCTCACTTCTCATTCTCTCTCAATAGCCGTCCTTCCCTCTTCTTGCCCCTGTCTTCCTGTCACCTTGGCCTTCTTCTCTCTTGATGGTCAGGTGTGACACAGGAGGTCCTGCTCCCCTCTGAAATGATGGCTGGAGCCCCTGCAGAGCTTGGGGGAGCCCATCTCTCTCAGGTGCTATCCCCTATTTTTGGCTCCTCTTTCTTGGTTTGTGTCTGAGAAAGGGTGCGGTGAAGGTTGACATTTTTGAGACCCTGCATGCTTGAAAGTGTCTTTATTCTATCCCCACACCTGATCAATCAATCCTTCCGCTGGGCGTAGCGTCCTAAATTAAGATCCGTCCCCCCACCCCGTCCCTCCCCGCCGCCCGTTCCCCCAGTGTCCTGAAGGCAGTTTCTCTCCTGTTTTCATGCTTCCAATGTTGCTCTTGACAAATCCCATGCTATTTTGCCCTCCACACCCTTTGTGTGGCCCCTGTTTGCTTTCTTTCTGGAAGGTGTCAGGATGATCTTGGCTCCTACAATGTGGACATTTCACCAGTGCTTTAATGTGGGGTTCTGCCCCGGTCCATTCTGCAGAGCACTCTGGGAGCCTTCTATCCAGAAGCTCAGACCGTCAGTTCTGGGAAACACAATATTTTGCATAATCTCCTCCCCGTTGTTTCCTGCAGCTTTTCTCTCTCACTAGTCACGTATGGAACTTCCGACCCATCTTTCTATGTTTGTATCTGTTTTCTCTTACTTACCATCTCTTGGTTTTCTCGTTCTGCTTCCTGGGAAAGTTCCCCAGCTTTATCTTCTGACCGTCCTCTTTTTGGCTTCTCTTGTTTTCCTTTAGCTCCTTTAAAAAAATCTTCTTGTTTCACGAATCCAACATTTTATTTCTTAGAGGATATTAACTGTAGTGTTTTTGGAGTTTATTTTTTCCTGGTCCTTCCATTACCTCTGTTCCTCTGAGTTCCTTTTCTTTTCTCCTTTTTAAAATTTAATACACTCTCTGTTTTCACCCTGTAGTCTTTCTCAGAGACTGGTTACCTTTGGGTTATCTGTTCATAGTGAAGAGTAGGTCACTAAAAGCTTTCCAGAAACTGTACGTGAGTGTGTTTGTGTGGAATTTTTAATTTATGGGCTTCGTTACAGAGTGGCCAATTGGAGACCCAGACATTTTACTGGGGACTCCCAAATAGAAGTTTCTGTAAAGCTCTTTCTGCGACCAGTTCCCAGCACTCTGGAGGACAGTGCTTTCAGAACCAAATGGCAGAAGGGGGTGTCCCCTGCTTGCCCCCAACTGCTGTGCACCTGCCCTCCTCTATGGGAGCTTGTCTGGCTCACTTTTCCTACAAAATGTCAGGGTGAGGGAGGGGTAGGTTTTCAGTGCCTTCATGGGAAAGGGGAGAAGCCCCAGGCAGACTCGGTCCTCATACAGACTTGTAATTGGTGTCCTCTCTCCTGCTTTCCAAAGCAGCCAGCACCTCCAATTCCTGATCTTTCGAGCACGGGTGGCAAGATCTATCCACTTCTTGCTGACCGCCCCTTCGGTAGGCACTGGCTTTCCAGTTCCTCAGCTTTGCTTATTCCTCCATTTGCTTTCCATCTTCCAAAAATCTGTTGACATCTGCTGCCTGTGAGTGTCGCTTCTACTGTTCTCTCTGTCCTTATCTATCATCTTCTCTTTATTCCTTTGCTCTCATTTCAGTGGGGGTTGGAAGGAGCAGATGTGTGGTGAGCTTACCACATGTAGCAGGAAGCCCCTGTGAATGCTTCTAAAGTTTGCCCAGTCCCTTCCCTTACTTAGTAAAGGATGCCCCCGGGTCATTCTTCATGGAGAACTTGTAAAGGCTTTCCTGTCGTCAAGGTCAATTTTATTTAGAAAAGTGGAGGAGACTAGATTAAACATACCCTGAACCCAGCCTAATGTTGCTTTTAAATTAATTATAACATCATAACAAATTATTTTTTATTTAAATAAAAATGACTTTTTTTGCATTAGTCCTTTTCACAGAACTGCATGGAAAACAATGTCTGGTTGTTTTGTCTCTGGAAATTAGGGTTCCCTATGGGCTGGGTCCTCCGCGAGGCTGGACAGCCTTTTCTCTAGGTGGCATTCATTAAACCAGGATGTCGGGCCAATGAGATTGCATGGGAGGAGTCTAATTCAGGAAAGCCAAACTGCCTTCAGGGGCCTTAACTCCTTTAACAAGTGTGTTGGTTTTTTTAAAGGATGCTGGCTTCTCTGTTCACTGCCCAGAACACGCCTCCCCCTTCCAGCACACACAGCCCTGAGCCTCTCACTGGCAGCGGCCTGACGGCCAGGTGGACCTGAAAGCAGTGACCTCGCGGGCTTCCAAGGAAGGCCACCTGTCCCACCAGCCGCAAGGGCGTCCCCTCGGCAGGGGCGGGGCGCAGGGCGGGTCGTCACGGAGTCTTCTCTGTCCTTGCCTCTCCAGGTGCCCCTTTTCAAAGGTCTCAGCATCCTCACGCTACCTCCTGCCGTCACTTCCACCTGGGCCCCCCGCAGCCGCAGCAGCTGGCGCCCGACTTCCCCCTGGCCCACCCCGTGCAGTCGCAGCCGGGCCTCAGCGCCCACATGGCCCCGGCCCACCAGCACAGCGGCACCCTGCACCAGTCGCTGACTCCGCTGCCCACCCTGCAGTTCCAGGACGTCACAGGTCCCTCCTTCCTACCTCAGGCCCTGCACCAGCAATACCTCCTGCAGCAGCAGCTCCTGGAAGCCCAGCACCGCAGGCTCGTCTCGCACCCGAGGTGGGCGGGGCGGGGCCGGGGCGGGGCCGGGGGCGGGGCCTCGAGCAGGACTCTGGGCTTCCGGCTGCCGCCCCGCCAGCTGGGCGGGCAGTCACCACGTTGGGGTTCTGTGCGGGAGACAGCTTTTACTCCAGTTTCAGGCGGTGAACGGCCCCTGGACCCGACACGGGTTCCCTCGGTAGCCAGTGTGTGTCCTTGTCACATCACCCAGGTGTAGGGGCAGGGCCGGATAACTGGTGGTTTACAGCGCTCACGGTGGAAGATGGGAGTCCTCACGTCCCCTGGAGCTTCATGATCACCTGATTCTAACACCTAAGGTCCCTAAGGGACACCAAAGGACATAGCTGCTTCCGCCCTGCCCTCAGAGAGCCCATGATCTGGTTGGGGCGACCAGCTATGAAACAAATGAAGAGTGAAATTAGATAATACGGGGCAAGTCAGTTCACCTCTCTGAGCCTCAACTGTTAAGAGAAAGAGAGTACATCAGGGGTTCGCAAACATTTGTGCTTTAGGACCCTTTACACTCTTAAAAATTATTGAGGAGTCCACAAACTTCTGTTTACACGGGTTATAACTATTGATATTTACCATGTTGGAAATTAAAACTGAGCTATTTAAACCAGATTTATTAATTCATTTAAAAATACAAGAACAAATCCATAGAAACAAAAAAGACCAATTGTGTCTTTTTTGTGAAAAGAAGGTATATATACATGTACTGAGAAGAGGGATTTTTTTCTTTTTTTTTTAACATATTTGCAAATCTTTAATGCCTGGCTTAATAGAAGACAGCTGTATTCTCATGTCTTCTTCTGCAGTCTGTTCCAGAATCACATGTGGTTTCTAGAAAATTCACCATTCACCTGTGAGAGAATGAGAGTAGAAAAGCAAATAACATCCTAGTACTATTATGAAAATAGATTTGGCTTCACAAACCCCATGAAGGAGTCTCGGGGACCCCCAGGGGTGCCTGGACCACACTGAGGACCGCTAGACCTGATGATTTCTAAGGCTCTAAGAGTCTGTGACTGTGGGGGTTGGGGTGTGGGGGGCACAGGTGACTGTTGTAGCAGGTCAGAGGGAGGAGAGGTCATCATGCCTGCGGTGTGCAGGGAGGCCTTCCTGTAGGTGGTGTCTTTGACTGGGGCCATGAAAGCTGGGAAGAGTGTGGAGAAGGGTGGAGGAGAGGAGAAAGGTGTGGCAGGAGGAGAGGGGTGCACAGGTGTTGGAAAGCCTGCAGGAGGCACGTCTATGTCCCCTGAAGACAGCCCACGAAATTCAGAGGGAGGAAGTAGGAGAAATAGCAGAGGAGGCTGGGGAGTTTGGGTAGGACAGTTGGCCGGCAGGAGACACACGGACGGAGAGGACTCAGCATAGTGGGCAGCCCCCAGACAGCAGGAATGTTTGAATTATTGACAGCCACCAGCTGGGAAATGTCTTTGGAATTTGGGAAAAGGGACAAAACCCACTGCTCTGTAGGCTGTAGGCTCAGGCTGGCCAGCGCTGCTCAGTGCTCCTAGGGGCTGGGCTGGCCCCGGGGCAGCCTTGATGCCATGGGCCCTCCTTCCCTTCCCATGCAGGCGGAGTCAGGAGCGTGTATCCGTCCATCCCCACCGCCTCCACCCCAGCTTCGACTTCGGCCACCAACTCCAGACGCCTCAGCCCAGGTATTTGGCTGAGGGCACTGACTGGTGAGTGTTTGGGGGCCCTAAGCAAGGGAGGGGGTGGGGAGGGTCTTGCCTGATCCATGCAGTTCCTGTTTCCTTCACGTTGAATGATGCAGGAGGCCTATCTTCAAGCTCCAGGCTTTGCCTGTGCCCCCAGTCACCCTCAAGGCCACATGACCCCCACTGGGCCTGGTTAAGGCAGTTAGCTCAGGATGTGCCTGGATAGCACCATGTGCCCAGCCTGGGGCTCTGTGCTCATGGTCCTGCAGGGGAGGAGGGGACAGAGACAGAAAACACTTCCCAAGGTCAATGACGCCTGGAAACCAGTGGTTTCTGGGAGGCAGGCAGAAAGGAGAGTCTCAGGAGCTAGCTAATCAGGGAAGGCTTCCTGGAGAGGGTGGACCTTGAGGGATCCACAGAGAGGAGCCAGGGCAACCCAGCAAGACCAAACAGCGGCTTGTGGAGGCAGAGCAGGGTTGGAGGTAAGGACTGAGGACAGAAGCTGGGGAGAGAGATTGAGGGCTTTGCTGTGATATCTTTGTAGGCACTGAAATCCTGTGTCTTACAATTTCTTACACTCAGGGCAGAGGGATAGAGGTCTTTGTTGCCCTGCAATGTAGTGTTGCTTTGTTTGGGGTCCTCTGTCTCACCTGCCTCTCTGGTTCTAGCTCTGGACTTGGTTGACCTACACTAGGGTGTGATGCAGACGTCCAAACACTTGAAAAAGGTGTGTAGTTCTCTGAGGCATTTGGGTTCAGAGAGCATCACGCCTGAAACTTATTTTCAAAGAGTTCAGGGAAAAACCCCACGGAGAAGTGTGTGTGTAGCTGTTGTAAGTATATGCGGAGAGAGAGAGAAGGAACTAAAAATGCGGCAAAATAGTAAAACATTAACGCTTGGAGAACCTGGGTGAAGGGGGTCTGGGAATTCTTTGGGCTGGTCTTGTAACTTTGGGGTCAACACGTTGCTGTTTGAAAGACTATAAATGCAAACAAACAAAAACTTCTATGGAGAAGCAGGGACTATATTAAAAAAAAAAAAAGACAGATGTGCTCTGTGTCATTTTCCAGCTGTCAGTCAGGCAGACAGGGCTTCCAGGAATGATTCAAAAGCGGGCGAGTTCCGGTTGACTGCGTGCAAAAGGTGCTTCCAGGCACAGGAAATAGTTCTAAGGCCTTCCCATGTCTCCCAGCCCTCTGCTCGTTCTGGGGGACGCTCTGTGAAATTGAACACTTCCTCAAAGGAGAGGCTACGCGGCGGCCAACTTCAGCCCAGGCTTTTTCTAATTAGCAGATTCAAATCAGGAAGGTTTAATTGCAGTTTGGATTGAATTCTGTCCCTCAGCAGTCAAGTCCATCCAATTTAATTCAATTCAGTACACACTGGGTGATTTGAACAAACATGGGGGAGCCAGCGCGGCCATTGGGACCGGGGAGGTGACGTGGGTGAGTGGTGAGTCTTGTCCTGGGGTGGTGTCGGGAGCCCCCACAGGTGTGAGCCTCCCCAGCTCGCTGGCTTTCCACGCTTCACTCCCTCTGCCCTTCTGACCTCTGTCCGCCTGAGAAACAAAGACTGACGTCCTGAGAGGCCTCCGCAGGGGACCAGGGGGAGATCCTGCCCTGAGTCACATCTGGGTTTACCCTGGGCTTTTTCTGCCTGGCCTGTCCACCTTACTTTGGGATATTTAAACCCCGCTCTACCCAGGCAGCTTCTCTTAGCTGGGCATCTTGGCCAAGAGTGTGGGGGAGCAGCAAGCCCTTGCGGCAGCAATCCCAAATACGCCCCCTTTTTGGTCTACACCGGATAACTCGACCCTGACCTTGAGCTCCAATGTCTCTGTCCTCATCACGCTCCTTCTTTGACTCATTCCCGGCTTCATACTTCCAGCTGTGATGCGAAGGTCTGACTGCACCCCGTTCCACCACCCAGCCCTAGCCCTGGCCAGGCAGAGCCCCCCCACAGATACCTGGGACCTGTGAGACGGTGGGTGGAGGGCAACAGCATCCGACTGTCCTTCCCCTGCCAGCGGCTCTGCCTCTGCCAAGCCTCCAGGTTCACCTGCGAGACGGTGCCAGCTCTTAAGCTCTCCGGGAAGAATGTTAGGCTCAAGGTAGCAGCCAGACCACAGCACGCTTCCAGGCCATTGATAGTGAGTGGAAAATAAAGTTTAGCTTGATATTTAGATGCAACTGACAAGAAACTATGCATTGAGACAGTGCTTCCCGTGTATATACACACAGACACACACTCACATATACACACATCACATCTGGAAGCAGGAATTCCTTAAATATCTCTCATATCTTTTTTCCTTAGTTTGGATGTATTTGTTGAAGAGATGTGGGCTGTTTTTTCTGTGTTTCCCACTTGGTTCTTGCCGGTTGCCCTCTGCTGTATCCGTTCAGAGGTCCCTCCGTTTTCCTCAGTTCCCGGTGCACTGGCACTTAGATCAAGGGTCAAGCAGAGTCACGTTCAACTCTTAGGATTTCTTGGCAAAAATACTGACAAGGGGTGTGTTCTCCCAGCAGAAAGCTGATTGTCTCTCCCTCTGCTGTGTTAGCCACTGGTGATCTCTGCCCGGAGCCTTTACTTCTTTCGGGGATGCAGGGAGGTGCTGAATAACTCCACCATTCCTTATTCATTTGTTAGCTAGAAAGCTTCCCCTCCCCGCCACAGGAAAGGTGTCTTTCAGAAAGTGGTTGATTTTCTGTTTCTAGAATTGCTGTTCTTCTTCTCTTCGATCTCCCGTTGGATTTGTAGGTGTTTGCAATCTTTAGATAAGCTATCTAGCTGATCTCCCGCTACCTGAAGTCGTCTCAGCTGCTACTTCTCCGCCATCTTGACTCCTCCTAGAAAGCTTTTATAAAGAGGAATTTCCCTTCATCAACTATTTGGCTACCCTCGGTCCAGTTAACAGAGGAAAGGCAGGATAAACATTGGATTCTTTCCCTCTCTTCACTGGTTTTCAAAATGAAGCATTGGTTCCCTAATGTCCTTTGAAGGGACTGGATTTCTTTACCATCATTTCCCTCTCATGGATCCGAACCTGTTCGAAAAGTTCCCATCTGCTGGAATGATGCTTGCTGACACGCCTCTTGTTTAAGCCCTGGCCAGTGGGAACCTCTTAAGGATGCCGTGATAACTTTCTTGCTTTGAGTTATAACAAGAGGTTTCAAATCATTTTGCACATTTTCTGCTCCAGACCTGAAATTGGCCATTTCTCAAGGAGCCCTCGTTCCTATTCTGTTGGAATGAATGATTTTTTTTTTTTTTAAGGGAGTTTTCCCTTAAAACTTGTAGGAGGCGGGGGTAGGGGTCCAGGATGGCTTTCCCAGCCTCACGGCTGCAGAGGTCCCTCTTCTGTGGTTTTCTCACAGTGACACAAATGTGGCCCGTGCTCCCCTTCCCCTCCACTTCCACCTGACTTGTCTTCCCTTGGCTCCGTATCCCTGACCAGCTCTGCTTGGATCCTTTCAGCGTTTCTCTCAAGGATGGGCTTTGTCTTGGGAGGAGCCTTGGTGCACTCATTCTGAGGAGTTTTCTGGGGTGTAGACCATTCCAGCCCCTTCAGACCTGGCAGACCCCCTTTCTCCTCTGAGTCTCTGTTTCCTTCACTTTAAAGAGAGGGGAAGGGACGGGTGACGCCGAGTCCCTTGCAGCTCTGGTGGTTTGTGACTCTGAGTCTTGTGTCTGGGGTCCCTCCTGTAAGCAGATGACTGGATCCCAGCACCCTGTGGTTCACCGTGGCCTTGTCCCCGCAGGGATCTCAGTGTGGACGCCGGCTTGAGCCCTGCCCAGTTCCAGGTGCGGCCCATCCCTCAGCACTATCAGCATTACCTAGCGACTCCTCGAATGCACCACTTTCCCAGAAACTCCTCCTCCACGCAGATGGTGAGTGCAAGGGCTCTGCCAGGGAACGGACCCCCTGACTGCCTGTGGGTGCCGGCAGTGGTGGACTGAGGTCCACAGCTCCCTTGTGTCCTGCTGTCATGCATGCTGTCCTCCCCTCCCCCTTGCTGTTCCCACTCTGACTTGATCTGCTGGACAAAAGGCCTTTGTCCCCGCAGGGCTCTGTGATTGCAGAAGGGGGCAGGGTGGCTCTGGGGGGCCTTTCCAGTCCCTGGCATTGCAAGCTCCATGGAGCGGAGGTGAGGACAGGCCATTAAAGTGGCACCAGCCTGTTGGCGAAATATTATCTCCTGACAGCCCGTGCATGTAGCTGCCCTACAACACAATTCCCCCCTTCCAGCCCTTGTCTCCGCCATTAACCACTCCGTCCTCAGTCTTCTGGTTTGTACCATGAGAGGTTTGCATGAGTTGAAGCCCTTGTCCACTCTGATGTTCTACGATTGGTGTCACGAGCACCATCTCCTATGAGAAAAAGCTAACATTTATGGAACACTCAGTGCACGGCAGGCCCTGTTCTAAGCACGTTATGTGACTTACTCGCAACCTTACATAAAAGGATGTTTATCCCTGTTTTACAGCTGGGCAAACGGGAGCAGAGAGGTTAAGAAACAGAGCTCATGCAGTGAATAGGTAGAGGAACTGTGATGGAAATCTGGGCCCTCCAACTCATAGTTGGGGCCAGGGGCGGGGGTAGGGGGTGAGTGGGGCAGGGTCTTGCCAGGGCAGGGTCAGATCCTGTCTTTATTTAACATTTTGGTATTTTGTTCATTATGGACTTTTGGCAATAATTTTGATTTTTTTAAAATATTGCATTAAAATATTATTTACCTTCATTATTGAGTCTACTGTGCTGAAATACTATTTACCTTGATTACTGAGTCTTTTGTGCTGAAATTCATGCTCTCACTGGCCCTGCCTGGCTAGGACATGGCCCATGCCCTTCGCCATCTGAGACACCACCTAGGGCAGTACTGAGTAGAGGGGAAGGAAGGGGCCCGTGGCCACCCAGCTGCCTGGGTTTGAAATCATCGTCTGCCACTTAGGCACTGACTTTATCTATTTGTGTCCCGTTTCCCCTACCAGTAAGTTGGAGGTAGCAATGGTAGCCACATCCTAGATCAGATGAGATCACTCCAGTCGTTATGTGCAGTGCTTAGACAGTGCCTCTCTGGGAATAAATGTCCAATCAGCTGAGTCATCTTACTAATGATATTAGTATACGATATATATATTTACTAATTTATACTTACTTTATTAATTTTGTTATTTTGGGGGGGGCTGATCTGGCATAGGCCTGGTTCTTGATGAGGGGAGGAGGGTATATAAGAGCAGGAAAGAGAGCACTCCCCACTGACGAATCTTGGGGGTGTGCAGCTTGGCCGATTGTGAGGGGGAGCAACTGGATGCTGGGCTCATGCAGCCAGGAATCCCATCTGAGGTGTTTTTCTCTCCAACAGGTCGTCCATGAAATCCGAAACTACCCTTACCCTCAGCTTCACTTCCTTGCTCTCCAGGGACTAAACCCCAGCAGACACACCTCCGCGGTGCGGGAGAGCTACGAGGTATGCCTGCCCCTCTGTCTGGTTCCATCTGGGTTGGGGGAGACATCACGAATGTTCATGTTCGTGGTCCCCTTTCCCTTTCTCCTTCTGGTGGGTAGGGCATGGGAGGTTGTGGGTAGCTTTGGGCTTGAGCATAAAAGAGAGAAAAAGAGAGAGTGAGTAAAGATGTTGGGGTCTTTCAGTACCAGCCAAGTTCTTCCCGGTGGTTATGTGAGTTCTTCCTGCTAACATCTTTCAGTGCCCTCCCTCCGTATCGTGTGTGTGCACGTGTGTGAGTGAGGGAGTACATGCAGAGTGCACATGTCCACACTTTCCTCTTTGCAGGAGCTGCTGCAGCTTGAGGACAGGTTGGGAAATGTGACTCGGGGAGCTGTACAGAACACCATTGAGAGGTTCACCTTCCCCCACAAATACAAGAAGGTGAGTCTGCTAGTGGGTCAGCCTGTGTCATTGAGGGGTTGTAGTTAGATGCTCTGAAGCTGTGATGTTTCCCAGATCTTCTCCCTTGTCTCTGTCAGGTGTTTCCAGGAGGAGAGATGGGGGTGCCTCTCATCATGAAGGAGGAGGGCTGGATGTGCGTGTGCATGTGGACTTGTGAGTGGGTGTTTAGGTAGACATACAGGTGTATGAATGCTTGTATCTGAATGAATGGGCAGAGGGAGCACCTGCAGTGAAGGCCAAGATATGTCTTAGAAAAGAAGTCCAAGTCCAATCCCACATGGGGACAAATGGGCAACTAAGACTTCAGAATGGGAGTTTCCAATCAATCCTCACTGAGCAGCAAGATCACCTGGGGAGCTTTTAAGGGCACACGTTCAAAACTCCATCCTAAGCCTATAGAAGTACACTCTTCACCGATATAGCTGAGGAGTCTGGAGTAGGATTAGAACCCAGCCATCTGATTTTTAAATATTTTAAAATTCCAGTAAATAAAAAATTTGGAAGCAACCAAGATGTCATTCAATAAGTGAGAGGATAAACAACAGTGGTGCATCCATACAATGGAATATTAGTTTGTGATTTTTAAAAAAATGAGCCATGGAGAGACATTAGGGAACCTTAAATGCATATTACTAAGTGAAAGAAGCCAACCTGAAAAGGCATACTATATGATTCCAATCATATAGCATTCTGGAAAAGGCAAAACTAGACAGTTAAAAGGTCCCTTGTTGCCAGGGGCTTTAGGGGGAGGGATAAATGAGTGAATGGGTGGATCACAAGCTATTTTTAGTGAAACTATTGTATGCCACTGTAATCGTGGACACATGACATGGTGCATTTGTCGAAGCCCATAGAACAGTACAACGGGAAGAACGAACCCTAATGTAAACTCTAATAACAGTGTTTCACTATCAGTCCATCAGTTATAACAAATGTACCACACATGCAAGACGCTAAAATAGCTCAGACTGTGTGTGTGTGTGTGTGTGTGTGTGTGTGTGTGTTGAGTGGGGGGAGGGACGAGGGAATGGGCTGTATTTTCTGCTCAATTTTAATGTAAGCTAAAATTGCTCTATAAAATAAATTCCTCTGTGAAAAAAAATATTTTTTTTTTTTAAATTTAAGAACTAAAAGCTTGATAAGTACTGAGAGAGCTGGCGTGGGAAAATGCTCATCGAAGTCAAGCCAGAGCCCATCTTACTGCCTCATGAGGCACTAGGGCTCAGTGGTCATGAGCACTAAGTGTTGGAGTCAGATAGGGCCAGTGTTTAATTTCAGTGTTACTGCTGTCTTTGTTGGGCTGCTATAATGAAGTACCATCAGCTGGGTGGTTGAAACAGCAGCCATTTATTTCTCACAGTTCTCAAGCCTGGGAAGGCACTGGGTTCTCTTCCTGACTTGTAGATGGCTCCATTCTTGCTGTATCTTCACAAGGCAGAGAGAGGAAGCTCTGGTGTCTTTTCCTCTTCTTATGGGGCACTGATCCCATCATAGGGGCTTTGTCTTCATGACCTCAGTTAAACCTAATTAGCTTCCAGAGGCTCCCATCTCCTAATACCATCGCATTGGGGGGTAGGGCATCAACATCTGAATTTGGGATTGGGAGGCAAAGACATTCAATCCATAGCCACCGCTGAGAGCTGTGTAGCTCTGGACAACTTACTTGACTTTTCTGGCCCCTTCCACGTCCTTTTTAGTGTCAAATAGGAATGATGTGTTAGTAGCAACCATAAGGGGTTCCTCAGTGGGATAATGCATGTAATAGTTTAGTACAGTACCTGGTATCTGGTAAGTGATCAGGGATGTTGAACTGCTCTTACCTTGATAGAAGGCTCACTTGTTCTAGGCTTGCATGGATGCCCATGATATCAGTTCAAAGGCCATGATCTTGGTCTGTGAAGATCCTCACAGAAGCATTGGATTCATCCATACGTGATTTCAACCAACATTCATTATCTACAATGTGTCTTATATGGGTAGTATGTTCATGGAGGAAATGACAGTATTTCAGTAACTAAGGGTAGCATTAGCAAATGGAAGATAATCATTCTCTGCAGGGCAAGTTTAGGATACTGGAGGAGAACATGGAAGGCAATGAGTGGCGTGTTCAAGAGACAAGAGCAGCTTCCACTCCTCTGACCAGGGTGTGCTCACTCTCGCCAGGGCCACATACCACACCTGCCCTCAGGGCCACAGGCCATGAGGGGACAGGGAGAGAACACACATGGAGGATGGAAAGAGAACATGGACCAAGCCAATAATATAAAGAGTTGAGGTAAAAGTGATGAAAATAAAGGGAGAATTAGGGGAATAAAATATTATAAGAAAAAAAAAGAATAATTAAAAATATGAAATGATAAAGTTTAGGACCCAAACGAAATGTGAAAAAAACTTTGAAAATTCAAACTGAGAGTCAAATAATACAAAACAAAAAATATTTTACAATAGCGATGATAAAAGAATAAAAAATACAAAGGAAGAATAGTCATGGAGACAAACATAAAAATAAGAATTGGGCAAAGGTATGAAAACAGCATACAGAATGAAAACCAATCACACTGACATGAAAGGGAATGTGAATGAGGACAAAAAGGTACGGGAAGAAGGGGTAAAATTAATATAAAATAAATGCTGAGAAGAGTTCCCATTAAAATAAAAGTTACATAGATAATGAGGAGACAACCCAGAAGACATAAAAGATTAAAAATACAAAAGAGGAAATAGGAAGATTTGAAAAGAGACTGATTAAAGAAATATAGATTAGGAGCGTCTGGGTGGCACAGTTGGGTAAGATCCAACTTTTGGTTTTGGCTCAGGTTGTGATTTCAGGGTTGTGAGATCAAGCCCTGAGTTGGGTTCTGTGCTCTGAGTGGAGTCTGCTTAAGACTCTATCTTCCTCTGCCTCTGCCCCTCTCCCTGCTCTCTCTCTCTCTCTCAAATAAATATTTTTAAAAAAGAAAGAAATATAGATTAGATGTAGTAGAACAACGTTAGACTATTTGGTTGAAATCATTAACTATAAAAAGGAAATAATGAATAATTGTGGGGAAAAAATAGAAAATAGGTAAATAGTGAGCCTTATTAGTATCTTTTATAGAACATCCCTTTTCTCAAAGGACCAACTGAAAGAAGGCCACTCCTCCCAGAAACCCAGCTGGGCTGTTAGGCAGGCAGACCATCATGACTCAATTCATACTCAGAAGCCATGATGATTATATGGGACTATGGATGTAATTCTGATTTTCTGGTTTCTAGACAACGGAACACTTATTGCACTGGCCATCACATGGTTTGCAGTTGGAGTGGATAGGGCCCAGGGAGGCTGAGAGCAGAAAGCGTAGATTTTCTTCTATGTTCCGGTGAGGCTACAGCACTCCAGGGACCACATCAGACTAAGGAACTCCAGAGCTTAGGACCAAGGATTGGAGTGGGGAAACCTAGCATCTAAGCTGGCCCCAAGGTCGTAGTTATTCTGTGGGCAACTTTTTTTTTTTTAATCTTGTGACTCTTCAGATTTTTCTCTTGGCAAAATGACCTTTAAGTCTGCTTCTCTCTGGAGAGGGGACAGAAGGGCTAGTTTTCTTCCCATGGATATTATCAGACTGTTTCACTGCACAGCTTGGAGATGGGGACAAGAAAGGTGGGCCAGTTTTATTCACTGATTAGATTCCTTCCTCCCCAGAATATTTTTAAAGTACCTATGATGTACCTTCTGCTTGCCCAAGTATGGAACAATACTTAAGGAAGGGTGAACCATGGTCCACATCATCTAAGAACTTGGAAATTTCTATATAGCAGTTAACGATTTTCAAATCATTAGCATAGAATTTAAAACAATTCAACTAAAGTCAACAAGTGTAAACAGCATGACTACATGATGTCCAAACTCATGTTGGAGCTAGTGCCTATCTTAAAGGAATTTTCTGGATAGGAAGAAATCTAACAATATAAAACAACTGTATGGTACAAATGATATGAGTTGAATTTTGTTTTCACCTAGCTATGAATGAATAAATGAGTAGAACTTAGTTGAGTGAAAGAGAGAAAAGAAGAAGGGAAGGAGAGAAGGAAGGAAGGAAGGAAGGAAGGAAGGAAGGAAGGAAGGAAGGGTAGATGGGTAGATGGATAGAAGGGTAGATGGATGGAAGGTTGGGTGGTTGGAAGCTGAGTGGATAAATGGATGGGTGGGTGATTGCATGTATGCATGGATATATATATGGATGGGTGAGAAGGTAGATGGGTGGATGGGTGAGATGTTGGATGGATGGAGGGTGACCGAGTGAGTGGATGGGTAGATGAGTAAATAGGTGAGTGGATGGATGGATAAAGCACGCTGGACCTGAATGTGGAGGCAGAAGCCTGGAGGCAGGGATCTAAGTAGGAAAGGACATAAAGGAGGAGTGGACAGTGTGAGGGGAATAGGAAGGGGAAGCAGTTTATCTACAAGACATAGTTTTACCATGTACTGATTCTTCATTCCTTTCCAAACTCTATACCTGTCAGCCAGGATAACCACCACCTTATCCCAAGGCAAGGAGAAAGAGCTGGGGAGGAGGCCGGGAAAAGGGTCTGGGATAAGCACCCAAGTCTGGGGATTCCTTAAGAACTTACAAAGACACTGACTCCCTGATAAGGGAGGGGAAGGCTGTGGTTGAAAGATCAGGGTCTCCAGGTGAGCTGCTCCAGGTAACTGATTCTCCTCTTCTGCTTCTCATAGCGAAGACCCCAGGATAGCAAGGGCAAGAAGGAAGAGGGGGAGGAGTCAGACACAGATGAGAAATGCACAATTTGTCTGTCTATGCTGGAAGATGGAGAAGATGTGAGGTAAGAGACCCGCTCCTTCTGTCCCCCCCCACCCGCAGGTATTAATAATCAGTCGCGTGCTGTATGTCAGGGGTACAGTGCTTGTTTTCTTGTGCATGTGCATGCTAAGTGTGCCATAGATTGTTATGTGGTTCTTCTAGGAAGGTGGTGTGTGGAATGTTCTAGATGTATGATGCTTATGGTGTGGACTGGTGGACACAGAGTGTAAGAGAACAGAGTGATATTTGGCTTGGATGGGTGTAAGACAAAGTCATGGCTTTGTTTCAGGCTGGTCTGAAGGAGCTTCATGGAGGAAGAGGGCTGTGGGGTGCTCCTCCCTGACATGACTTCCCAGCCCCGCCACAGCCTCACTGCAGGGCAGGGCTCCCAAGACCCTCTTTGGCCCATCCCCCAGTGGTGCCACTGTGGGCCACCTCCCACCCCCATCCTGTGATCGCCAGTATCGTGCCGCCCCTGGCCCTCCCGGGACCCCCTCCCTTTCCACCAGCCCTCTGACCCTCCCTTCTCTTCCAGGCGCCTACCCTGTATGCATCTTTTCCACCAACTGTGTGTGGACCAGTGGCTCGCCATGAGCAAGAAATGTCCCATCTGCCGAGTGGACATTGAGACACAACTGGGAGCCGACAGCTGAGGGAGGAATTAGCCAGTGGACGCCCCATTTTCCTTCACCAGGTCCTCCCCACGGCCATAGCCCTTGCAGCCAAACTTTGCCTTCTGAGCCATTTGATGTAGAGGAAAAGCCTGCAAGCACATTTTGTGGAAAGAGGAGTTGGCGGTATCCGTGTCTGAGGGAAAGGAGGGGTGGGGGGAGGACCCCCCCATCCAGAATGGTGACTGCCCCCATCCACCTCGCTGCGCGGGAGGGAGCTGGCCGTGCCCAGAGCAGGGGTGGGAAGGGGGGGCCCACGCTGCTGAGAATCTGGACGGGAACTGGAAGGTCCTAGCTGACAGACAGGCCCCTCAATCCTGTCCTTGGAAGGATTGTATATATACCTCTCGACCACGTAGAAACCATGTAGGGGTCTCTAGCTATTTCTGTGGATGGCAGCCGGAGCATGTTAGCTTAAGAAAAATGTCGTGTGTGGTGCTCTAGTCATCTGTGGTGGACATGTCGCTGTTACGAATTCGCACCAAATATTTCTCATTGAGTTCCTTGTTTTGGTGCCTGACTGAACCAACAAATGACAGCCCAAATCTTACCGTCTTTATGAGAAAAAAGGAGAAAAGAATCAAAAGTGAAAAAAAAAAAAGCAAATCCTGTTTTCTGGTGAAAAAGGATGATTTTTTTTTTTTTCACCCAGGTTGGGAGGCGGGGCGGGGGGGGTATCTTTTGGTTTTGTTTTTGTTTTTTTCCTTTGCTTTTGTTTTTCTCATGTTTACAGTGCGTGGAGTGTAGAAGGGGAGCATCTGGGGGAAGGGGAGGACTGGAAAAGGAGCAGATGGGGGGCTTTGGTGGCCCCTGAGGGGCTCAGCCAGGGTGAGGAAGGCAGGGTTTGAGGAGAAGGGGGACATTCTGTCTTGAGGGAGGGCTCCCCAGGTCCAGGCCTGTCTACTTCGTTCCAGCCATGGCCCTGGTTCCACGTGGGACTAGGGAGGAGCGAGCCTTCAGCTAGAGTTGCCCCCGTGTTCCTCAGAGTCAGGGTGTCCCCGCTGATGCCACCTTCTTCCTTTCGGCTGGGCTTAAGCCCTGTCACAAAGAGGCAATTTGGCCCCTGCCTCCCTATGCAAAAAATTAACTGGATGATGAAGATATGACAGCCTAGGTGGTGGACACTTGGCTTTGGCCACAGTGCTCTCGACTGGCACTCGGGGGCTGTGGTCAGACACCACGGACCTGGAGGAGGGCCTTCAGCTTCCTTTGGGGTGTCTCAGATGCCTATGGGGTCCTTCAGAGATGGCCCCGGTCCTAAGACTGCATTGGCTGCTTTTGGGAGGCCCTGTGTCCCTAGTCTCTGGCTCTTTCTCTGACTCCTCTCTTTCTCTGTGCCTCATTCTCCTTCTCCTTAGAGGGGACACAAAAGATAGTGCATCTCCATTGCCACCTCTTGTACCTCCCCCAGATGTGGTAAGGGTTGACACTATCCACCCCAAAAATTCATGCTCCATCCTGAGAACTCCTTGGAGTTTAGGGACAGGGGTGGTGGGAGAAACAGACCTGGAAGTTCCAAGGGACACCACACAATGTGTCTTTCTGCACCACCCCACAATTTTTCTTGAGCCCCAAAAGAAGCAGAGAGATGGGAGGACAGAAGAAAGGAGATGGGGAACATCCACCAAACTTCAACCTCAACCCAGTTTTCTTCACTCATGGGTGGAAAACCCGGCCCAGCTGGAATTCTGTTCCCTTCCTTTGCCCCTCCCCCTCCCTTATTTGCACTGTCCTCAGTCTTCCCCTCCCTTCCCTCCTCCCCCAGTCTTAATGCCCTCATATCAGTAAGAGAAAACTAAGGAGGACAGGATATTTGTCCCATCCATGAAGAAATTCTGTAAGGTTAAGAAAATCTGAGTCTGCATTGTTACTACAAAGGGTACATCCAGCACCAATGGGCAAAAATGACCGAGAGGCAGATTTTGGCTCGAGGTAGAACCTTTTAGCACAACCAGAGCTGTGAGGCGGAGGCATGCCTCTTCTGAACACCTGCAGGCACAGAATGGGGGATGTGGCTGGCTTCCTGTGGGAGGGTTACTCAAGGAGCTTACTCAGACTGAGGCCTCTTCCAGCACCAATACTCTGGTGTTCTAGAAAATCTTTACTGAGTGCCTGCTCAGTGCTGGGAGAGAGGACAATATCCCTGCCTTAAGGAGCTTACCCTTTAGCTTAGGAGCCAAGATGCACATAATAGCACAAAAATGGTGACTGGCTGATACAGGGTTAAAAGCGATGAGCATTAACTTGTCCAGTTCCATGGTTCCAGGGTGGGAATTGTGTCTCTGGGAGGAGACACAGTTGGGGAACCCATGGGTGTAGAAGGTGCTTCCGAGGCAGGATTTTGGGGAGAGCTAGTTACCAGTAGCTGCAGGAAGTAGGGACTTCTCCCCGGCCTGCTGTGACCTGGGGGTAGCCAGGGTGGTCTAGGGAAAGTCACTCCCCTTCCAGGCTGGGGCTCTTGTGCTCTCTGACGCTGGGTCAGAAGGCTAGCAAGTGGAGGGAGTGGGGGCGGAGCCAGGTGGCGCCAGACCTGGGGTGTGGGTTCTGGTCTCAGCTCTTCGATGACAAAGAATGCTATGCTGCTGGGCCTCAGTTTCCCCAGCTGTAATGCAAGGAGGTTGGATTGGATGCTTGCTCACATTGGATGCTTGCTCCTTCCACACATGCTCTGATCCTCCCTGACATCGACACATCTTTCAAGTCGTAGGGCGGCGCGCTCCGAGCTATTGCAGGTGGCTTCCAGCGGGCACCAACATCTGTCTCTGAGGCTGGGAGTGGGACTCAGTTCCTTCCTCCTCCCTGTGCTGGGCAGGCTCTGAGGGCCCCAGGCTAACGTTAGGCACTGACTGGGGTGGGGATCGCCCAGCGGGGAGAGGTCAGCCACCGACTTTGGGGGGTGAATCCTGAAGCTTCCCTCCTACCCCCCTCCCCATCTCTCTGGGGCCCTTGTACCTTGTAGGTGGGCACAGAAGGTTCGTAGACTCAGGCTCCTGCCAGCTCCAGCCTCCTTAGCTGGACATCTCTCTGGGTGAGAACACCGTAGAGGGGTCTGTGCTTCTGTGCCCTCGAAGCCACCTATCTCTTGTCGGGGAGACTGCGAAGATGACCAAGAGGCAGGCGCGGGCCTCAGCATCTTGTACCCACCACCTCCGGGAGGGGAGACCCCCAGTCGTCCTCCTACTGCTCGACTCAAGGGACTCAGACCCTTTCTTGACTGAGACGCATGAGTGCCTTCTGGGGTAAGAGCCACCCCAGGATTCAAGTTGGGCCTCCCAGGGTTGCCAAGGATGCCAATCCACAAACCCAACGCCACAGGTGGCTGGCGCGGGCAGAGGCCCAGCACAGGGCTCCCCCACCTGCCGGGACCCCTGGGGCCCAGCAGCCGTGATGGGACTCAAGCTCCTTTTCTGCAAATGTTCCCAGCCTCCCTGCAAGTATTCTCAACTCTTTACGCCTAATGAACAAGCACAGTTTTTTCAATGGTGAAGACAAAGCACCAGATCTTTCTTTTTTTTTCCCCCCAAGGAAATCCCCCCCCCAAGCCCCCCCACCCCGCCGCCGCCTGCTGGCGGGGCAAACACTCCCCGAGTGGGGCTGTAGCAACGTCTGTCAGGTCCCCCTGTCGTGTTTCATCTCCTGCGCGTAGAGCAAATGCTAGAGCGATTTCAGCTGATAGAAAAACAAAAATGAAAAAAAAAAACACAAAAAACAAAAAACATGGCACGTTGCTAGTTTACAGGGTTTTGTGAGTTTAAATGCCTTATATTTAACAATCATAATTTATGACTAACTTGTAGATATCGTGGGTTCTTATTTAATTATTTTTATAGTTGTTTTGCATTTTTAATTATAATTTATTTATTTAGAAAGGATACTAATTTTTTTTATTACTCCTATTACCTCATTTTGGCGTTGTTTCTGGGAGTGGAATGCTTTGCATGCATTGGTACGATGACAAACAACTATGAATACAAAAAAAAATTTAAATAAAATTCCGCGAACTTTATTTCGTCCAAACTATCAGGGTGTGTGATTGCAAGCTGTCCTACTGTGGTGCTGGCCTCTTTGGATACATTCCATACGAAATGCAAACCTTTGATTCTGTATGCTGTGATCTAGTGAAAAACTCCAATATAGTGACTGTATTTAGCACATATATAAATATAATTTGCACTCGTCAGCAGACTGGGCTAATCCTTTCACTTGCTACCCCAACACCCCCAATCCCTCCGTCATTAACCTGTTTCTCTTTCTTCCCTTATCCTTCCCGCCACCTCAGCCCACCCTGCCTCCATCCTCCCAGCAAGGCCTGGGGTCACTCTCTCTACCTGGGTTCCAGATGGCTCTGGTTCTAGAACTGGGCCGCTCAGACACTACCAGCAGAAGCATCTGAAAGCCCAAAAGCCAGATTTATTAGAAAGAGCCCAGGACTGGGGGTTTAGGAGGCTCGGGTTCTCAGACTAGCTCTATTGCAGACTTCGCTGTGACCTTGAGCAAGTCATTTGGCCTCTCTGAGTCTCAGTGTTCTGGGCAGCGCCGAGGGAAGGGAAGGGTGTCTAGGGTCCCTTGGACCCAGAGAGACAATAACACAGAAGGAGGGGGGAGGACACCGTGCTGTGCTGTCTCACCCTCTCAGGAGAGAAGGAAGAGGAGGAGAAGGGATGGAGGGACAGAGAGAAGGAGGGCATGGTGTGGGAGATAGGGAGAGGGACAGGGGGACACATCCTGGCTCCGGACATCCTCTTTCACAAGCCTCGGCAGGCCTTTCTTTGCAGAACAAGCTGAAATCCATTATGTTGTTAGTTGTGGGGAGGGGGTAGACAGAATGTCAGCCCCAAAATATGGTGTTTGGGATTGCCACGCCAACCTGTCCTCTCTTGGAGCCTTTGTTGTTGGGCAGAGCCCTGGGACACAGATCTGGGACTCTGGGTCTCTCCTCCCAGGGTCTCCTCCTCCTTTGCCCTCTGCCATCGCTCCTTGGTGGCTGAGGAGGGGAGGGGCTGCTGTGGCAGGGCCCTCCTGACTCACAGCTCCTGAGAAGGAATGCTGGGGGAGGGTTTGGGGAAGTGGTGGCCTCAGGCTGGCAATGCCCTGAGCCCAGATGTCTTTGAGCCAAAAGAGAGAGAGAAGGGAGGCCCATGCCCCTAGGAGAGGCCTCTGGGCCTGCTGTGACCCTGGCCGGGAGACGGAGGACCACTCCTGTGCCCTCCGCATGTTTGCCTCCTCCCTCCTGTCCTCCTTCCCTTCCTTTCCTGCTCATCCTTCCCTCTTGCCTCTTGACATCACTGCCTTTGCCTGGTGGAGAAGTCCATCCTCCACATGAGGTCCCTGGGATGGTGCTGATGGGGGAGGAGGCGGAGGCCCAGACTTGCCACGCTGCCGGCCCAGGCTTGCAGGAAGTGGCCGGGCCTTGTAGGGTCCCTAAGCCCCAACTTTGCTCCAGCTGGACTATGGGTCCTTTCCCCGGGCTTCCTGCCTGCTGCCTGCCCAGCTTCCCCTTCTGCCTCTGCCCTGGAGCCCTGTTCTGCTTTCCTTGGAGATGGCCTGTGGGGTCGCCCACCAGGGCCCACGACCACCATGCCTCCGGGCCTG